CGACACCCGTTATTCCACCTAGCCAGAAAAGACCGTTACCCCACCCCACTTCGCCCTAGAGCAAAACTCCATCCGTTTGCCTCCAGTATGTGTAAACGAACATTTCCGCTTCAAAATGGATTAACGCGCCACCTCAGATACATGCACAATGTCACATGCCCTGTCCCAGAGAGAAAACGCCCACGAGCCGACGAACCGATACCACCAGAAGGATCAGCATTTCCCTATGACAACTGTGATATGGTAGCGCGCTCTAAAACAGGTCTCAAATCCCATATTAGAGCACGGCATCCTGAGAACCCCACAAAATACGCACCCAAAGTTCAACTCATTCCTCAACCTGCTTCACTAATGCTGTGAATTTTGTCTACGCGACTTTGGCAACATTGGAGCTCTCGAATGCCACAAAAAGTTTAAACATCCACCTGGAACCCCAATTTTGCCAGCAATAATACAAGTAACGTTTCCACGAAATAAGAAACGCCAGCGAGATACGTCGACATCACCGGAGCGTGAGGACAGAGAAAAAGTCCAATGCGGAGTATGCCAGAAGTTCTACGTCCACCCAGCCTCCCTCTTCTTCCACTGCAGAAAATTCCATTATAGACAGGTAATGTCAACAAAAACAAAAAACGAATTCCACCACTGCACGATACAAAACAAGAAAAACAAGAGACCTTCCGGCATTAGTCTGTCCCACATGCAGCCGTCAATGTGTATGAGTAAGTCAGGCCTAACTCTACACCGAATGTCACGTCACGGGTGTCAACCTACTCACGCGCACACCAGCCAACGCGACGAATGCGACGAAACAGCTCTGCATCTTTGGAGTTGCACCACTCTTCATCCACTGCGAGTTCAATTTGCGATAGTTGATGATGTACCCCTGATGAAACTATGTTTCTCTAAGCGGTTAGCACAGTTCTTTATTGCGGTGGAGCGGAACTACGCTATGCCACAGTCTTCACAACCAAGAAACCCTACGCAGCCTACCTCCCCCTCTGTAAGGCCTCCCCACCTCTCTAAAATCAGCGACGAGCACGACCATGGAAACCTTGATAGAAGAGTAAGCTCAAGGTGTATGTCACTGACCAAAGAAGCAACAAAATAAATAGGAGTTCATTGAGGCCAATCTATTATAAAAAAAAAAAAAATAACCAAAAATTAATACCAAAAGGAGACTTGAGGATGGGTTCTGGGTAAGAAAAGTGAGAGTAGAGAGATCTGGTGGAGTTCACTCGATCAGATTTCTCGTAGACTGGTTCTCTCGTAAGGTAACGGGCTACAACAAAAATCATATTACAAGAGCTTGAGGATCCTATAAAATGAAGGGATCTTCTTCTTCAGAGCCACTCGTAAGCCAGTAACTAGGTGCTCTACGGTGTACGGCTGATAGCCGTTCCATTGGAGTATCATCCATAAAGCCACGAAGAACAGAAAAGCAAAACTTGGTGGTATGTGGGGCGGTCCTTTTTGGGTGGGGGGATATGTTTGATCGTACCCTCCCCCTTCACACCATAGAGTGAATTATATGTGTATTTTGATGTTTGTTTTTGTTTTGTTGATAATGTTGTGGAAGAAGAAGAGGCGGAGCGGCATTCTAAGGGAAAAATAGAAAAGAAATAGTAATTATAAGGATAAATAGAGAGGTAATGTGAGTGTGAGGGAGAGTAATTGTGTGTTGATTCTGTTTGTAAAGAGTGGCATGGTATTACAGTGTTGTATGCAGTCATTTTTGTTATGGTTGTGGGTGAGTGGGTTTTAGATTCCAATTGTGGTGTTGGTATAAATATTATGGTGATGCATTGGTTTCTTNTGATAGCCGTACAATTTCAGTAATATCCATAAAGACACGAAGAAAAGAAAGAAAAACGTGGTGGTGTGGTATGGGGTCCTTTTTGGGTGGGGGGATATGTTTGATCGTACCCTCCTTAAGTACATGGGGGGTGTATATGTGTTTTTTGGTGTTTTTTTTTTATTTTGCTGATGATGCTGTGGGAGAAGAGGAGGCGAACCGGCATTCTGAGGGAAAAAATAAAATAATAGTAATAAGGATAAATAAAGAGGTAATATGTGTGTGAGAGAGTGATTGTGTGTTGCCTCTGTTTGTAATGAGTGGCATGGTATTACAGTGATGTATGCAGTCATTTTTGTTATGGTTGTGAGTGAGTGGGTTTTAGATTCCAATTGTGGTGTTGGTATAAATGTTATGGTGATGCATTGGTTTCTTTTCTTTTTCCGTATGGAAGTGTGTTGATTATTGTACAGTCTTTTTGTTTTGCTGATGATTTGTGGTATTGTTTTTGTATGTTGCCAGGCGTACACTGTATTTTTGGTGTATTTTGGTGTTCGAATTGCTTGGTAATGGTTTTATTATAATGAGAATACAGACACTGTGTGTATGAATACCGAGTAAGATATTGGAGTGTGTGTAGAGACGTTTATTCAATATTGTTTTGATACCATTTGTTTTCCACTTCTTCTAAATTCAAGGTG